AAGCAGTGGTATCAACGCAGAGTACTCAGGTAGTCAAACACAAATTTCTACTGCCGCCGCCCGTGGCGGTATTTCGGCCGCAAATAGTCTTCCAATTGTATTTCCATATTATGATGATGCAATAGGCCAAAATACTGAGCCTTCAAAATCTGATATTGAAATAGATTTAATTACACCATTATGGCAGACTTTTCGTTTGTTTAGTGATGATCAATCTAGTGAAATATCAATTCAGAATGCACCATTTTATTTTGACTAGGAATATTAAGCATTCCAGAAAGGGTTTAGATCTTAATGATTTTGATTATAGTATAAATAAAAATTCTGGTTCTGATGGTTCTAGATGGTTTGCGCTTTGGAAAAATACATCATTTACAGGTAATAATGTATTTTTTGTTGAATCCCATGGTAATAATGTTTTCCGTTATCATTTTGATGGTTCATTTGCTGGACTTACTTCCAATTCCTCCCCTGAAGAAATTTATAATATTTATACTCAAATAAATCCAGATTTTAGGGCAACTACAAATTTACCCTTAGCAATGTTGGATAATGACACAACATCTTTTTCATATACAGGATCACCCACCTGGTTGCATAAAGGTACCGAATTTTCGGATTATTCTAAATTACAAAATGCTTCTCGTTTTGTATCTGCCTTTGATTTGTCAGAATCTGGCTCTACTGGACATTTAGGACTATTTAAGACTATTGGTGCGAACTTACCGTGCGATGTTATATTACCAATTTACGCCGATACTCAAGCATATACAGATTCGCCCCTTAGTTATTATTCACGTTTCGTACCTGTACAGCATCCTTTAACTGATAATTTAGGATATTTTAGCCTTGCTTTCTTAATATATCAGTGTATGAGTGTGGCCTCGCTCCTGGATGATTTTAATTTACCCGTGGATTGCGTTGGCCGTCCGAAATACTTTGGATTACAGGTTTGAGAGTTTTAATGCCTTGCCTTTCTTTGGATACAGTAAGATTTGGAATGATCATTTCAGAAATTTGGCTGTTTCTTCTCCCGAGTTGGATTATCGCCAAACAAACGGCTTTGCCTTGTTTGACCATCCACGAAGATTATTCCTTTCAGATCCACTTTGATTTCTCCGGAAATATTACCAGAGTTTTGGCAAGATAAACTAATAGGCCAACCAAATTAAATTCTTGGGTAATTCCTTTCTGTGCACAACCTAAAACAGGTATTACAGAAGATGTAACAATCTATGGCGGTGCCTATTCTGATATTTACCGTGTCCTAGATGGTAAACATCATTATGTAAATATCCGTAATTATACGGATCTATTCTGTATACTTACAGGTTATTTTCTTGATAACATGGTATTGGATCAGTTGTATTATGGGCAATTCTGGATGTATGAAGGTTCTACTACTTCATTTGTAACAAAAGACTGTATTTTCTGATTTGTTTACTAGTAAATTTTATTTTGCCCAATTATTATAATGGTTTATTACATAAAAAGTACCAGAATTTTAATAAAGATTATTTCAGTTCTGCAATGTTGGATCCTATGTCTGGCGCTAACCAGGTAGAACTTGGTTCTACTGTTAACGAACTCCGTACCAATGAGGCCAAACAAGGATGGTTTGAACGTATCGCCCAGGCTAGATCTGTAAAAGGTTTCTTTAATGCCATATTCGGCACTACTCCTGAAATTGAAAATTTGACACCTCAATTATGTGGATCTGATCACGTTGATATTAATATTGGTGAAGTTGTTCAGACCTCACAAACCGACCAGACGCCCCAAGGAACTAGAACCGGTCTAGGTTCTGCCCGTGGAGATGGAAACCTTGTTCATCAGAAATGTAACGAACACGGATTTATTTTGGTTTTGGTTTCTCATACTGTCGAAAGCCAATATTACCAAGGTGTTGAAAAAATGTGGATTCCCAAAAAGTCATATTTGGATTATCCAACAATTGACTTCGCCAATATCGGCAATGAATCGATACTCCAGAAAGAAATTAATTTCGGTACTCAGCCATCTAGGCCGTTTAATATGTCTGATCAGTTGATTACGGGTGAACCCGTTTTCCGCGAGAACTTAGGAAATGGGCGTGTGAAATATAATGGCCAGGGTAACCCAAGGCAGCAAAAAGTTAATTTGATTGGTGGCCCCGCTCATTATCCTAGTGTTTTGAATGTTGCTCAAAAATCTGGCACCTCATTGGATAATGTATTTGGTTATGTCCCCAGGTTCTCAACCTATAAATTTAAATTGGATCAGTGCCATGGTGTATTTAAATATGCCCTTAAGTATTGGCAGAGTTTCAGAAAGTTTAACTCTCAGCCCATACTTAGCCACGAATTTGTTAATTGGGAGTTCCTGGCTGATTCTGAGGAATTGAATAAAATGTTTGTAGTCCAGGCAGATTATTTGGATTCTAAATTTCTCCTGGATATTTTTATTAACTCGTATGTGTCCCGTGCATTACCTTATGTATGTACTCCACATTCTAAATAATTGATTGCGTATGAATTACAAATATAATAATCAAGGCCAAATGAAAAACCAGTGTGTACAGTTGAACACTTCGATTTCAAATATAATGGCAATCAAATAGATCTTGACGGTGCGTCTATTCCTGAATATATGAAGAATCGGACAGGCCTCTAGATTTCTTTGCAGCACAAGATCCTTTGTATTACCGCACATTGGATCCACAAAAATATTTTAATTATCTGGAAGATCAGAAGAAAACAAATGATACTTCCAGGATAGCCAATAACATAAACCCTGTTAATCCGCAAATACAGTAATTATGTTAGATAAACGATCCACCAGTACAGACCTCTCAACAACATCAACAAACACAGTCTCAAGGATCAACTGTCGAACCTGTCGCAAGTGCGGCCAAAGGTCTGGTTAGTTCTGGCCCTTGGGGCCTCGCTGTTGGTGCGCTAGACTTCGGCCGTGATTTGTTTAAAGATTGGCGTAATAAACGTAATCGCATACACGCTCAGGAAGATGCCAGAGAGAATGCACAACTTCAATATAGAAACCAACTCGGACTTTCGAACAGTGCCAATGAGTGGAACAGAGAGGCGAACCAGGTTCTTAGATATAGAGAGGCCGGTTTGTCCCCTGGTCTTATGTATGGCCAGATGTCGCCCTCAACAAGTTCGTCCGGATCCGCATCTATGCCAGACACGCCCCAGGCCGTAGCCAGTTCTATCAATGAAAATCCCGCATTGCTCCAGGCACTGCAGTATTTACTTCAAAAACAACAAGTTGGCGCTGACGTAGATTTGATATCGTCACAAATACGCAAAAATAACGCTGAAACTAATGCAACTTCTACGGATACCTTGTCTTTGCATGAACGCAATCTTCAGACAATACAGGAAAGTATTGCCCGTATGGCTGAAATGGCTAGTAATGTTAACCTCAATGATGCCCAAAGAGACCGCATTCAAAAATTACTTGACCAGGAACTAGCCGCCCTTGAGGCAACAGTAAACAAGACCTCTGCAGAGGCTACTTATATTTCTGGAACTCAAACTGATCTTGGACAATCTCAAATTAAAGTCAATGATTCTCAGGTAGGTGTTAATAAGACCCAAGCGCATCTCAACCGCCAAACGGCTGATAAATTGATACCGTCCCAGGTTAAAAATAATTATGCGTCTGCTAATTTATCTAATACCCCAGGCTGAGTATATAACCGACTACCAAGCGCCCAAGACTGACGAGGAAATTAGAAAGATGTCTATGGAGAACGAGAAGATCGCCTCTTCTATTAATTATATTAAAGATTTTCTACGAAACCACAACTTGGATCCAAATTTACTTGGTTCTGCTGTCGGGTTCCTGGAGTCTGTAGGTGTGGATCTCTCCTCGGCTGGTAAAGATATTCTCTCATCCTGGTTTAAAGATGGATAACTGGGTACAGGTGTATAATAACTATACCAGAAATGAAACTATTAAACAGGCTATGGATCGCAAGTCTGCATCTGGAGAAACTGAAAAGATCGAGGCTGAGAATGCAGAGGCCATATATGGCAAGAAGACTGAAGAGGCCGAATATGCCAAGAATATTATTATAATCTTAATGGTGAACGAAAGGACAATTTCAAGAAGTTGTACCAGAAATACCGTGCTGATCTTCGAGAACACGGCCACGATCCATCTGTTAAAGAAGTAGACGATATAGCATGGCGCCTGGCTTATGAGGAATATACCCGTCAATTGCAGTCCGACAATGCCAAAGAGGCTATGAAACATAAAAAGAAAAGACGCAACCACGGTTTTAACTTCTTCGACTTCGGAGATGGAGATTTTGGATTTTAACACTTTTTAACATTGGTAAAATCAGTTTTACATATTAACACTGCATCTGAGGTGACGATTATTGGTTTGGTAATCGTTGCCTCTTCTTGTATTTGGGCGGTCACAGCCTTGATATATTACCGCCCACAAATGTAAAAATATAAAGTATTCTTTACATAGTATTGATTATCAATTAGTTATCTAATATCTGTTAACCATTTATTAACATTAAATTTGCCTTTTCGTAACCTAATTATTTCGATATTTTTATTATCTTTGTATATCAAAAATAAAGATAGTGTTTAACCCGTAAAATTGATTATTATGAATTCTTTAACTTATAATCAAAGATTGGAGATTCTTCGTTATTTTGAGGAATGTATTTGCAATTATGGTGTAGGTGGTTATGAAAGTACACTACCGCTAATGAGAATGGAGATTTATTCTTTGAATTTTCTGATTCATTTTATATCCTCGCAGAAGATTATGATGATCTTTTACGCTCGTTGTATAATCAGGTACTTTATTATGTTTATGAATCATTACCATTTTAGGTGCCTATTTCCGCGCCCGTGCGTGCGTTTCGCGTGCGCGGGCGTGGTTGGCAACCTAAAGAACTCCCACCGTGGCGCCTCCAGACGTAGCGCCCGTGGTGGTCTAGACGCTGACGAGAATGAGCGTTCCCCATGCGTGACCTGCCAAAAATACGATAGATGCGCCCGCCCCATGTCTACGTAATCAGCGGGCGCATATAGCGTGTTTTTGCCAGCGGTCTGATAAACTCCCCTTCTATTTTTTAAAATTTTGGCCCTCCCATGCTAGATATATTCGGGCCATAATTTTAAAAAAATGATTAATGCGGTGTTTGTCAGCCATTGCCCCCTTAGGGCAAGTTTACATATTAACCCTTAAAATTAAAATTATGCCTATATTCGTAAAAGGGAAGTCGATGCCTTTCCATAAATCATACATTGATCGTGTCCCCGCCAAGAAGTTGCCCGTATACCATCACAAGGACGAGTATTGCGGACTATCTGTTACATTGGATGTCTACCAGGCAATAAGAACTAATAAATTCTGGTGGATACTTGACTTTGGCGCCAAGTTCGTTTTCTGGTCTGAAGAGTATAGTACTCTACAGTTCCAGAATATGGAGTATCTTATGAAAGTATATATTGAGTCCTGGATTTCGTCTAATCGTGATATGTATGCAGTGTGTAAACCCGTTCATAATGCAGATAGAGTGTGAAGGGCCAAGTATATACTACTCTCTTACCCTGTAACAAGTGTTACGCATGCCGTAATAATAGACGTGCGGAAATGGCTGTTCGTTGTCGCTATGAATTGGAAGACCCTCGCACAGTATCCAAGCACTTTATTACTTTGACCTATCAAGACGGGTTGTTGCCCCGTGTGCGCTCCTGGTGATTTTGATTATTTGTTTGCAAATATGCTAAATCGCTCTAAAGTCTACGCCGCCAGGCGCTACGATTACAGTATTCTCCGCAAGGATCATATTATGAAATTTACGGAGGATATGCAATATTGGATTAAATCAGTATATGACAAGCCATTATATTGGTATAATCCCATTTACATTTGAAGTATTTGATAAACAGTATAAACCATACTACCGTGCCAAATGGGAGAAGAATTTAAAATTTAGGTGGTACACCGTTGGCGAATATGGAGATATTTCTCATCGTTGCCATTATCATGTACTCCTATTTGAAACCTATAGAATTGCATAAAACAGATATTAAATATATGGTTGATGAATTGTGGGACTTATGGCGCAAACAATGTACGGAACAATCAACGATTTAGGTGCTTGCAACTATGTCGGCAAACACCAGGTAAAATCTTGCATTGGTAATGAATTTCAACAAATTTCGGCTCCTAGTTTTTTCTTATCAGTCTTGTTATGGTGGTGGTATCGGCCGTAATATGGCTAATGATCTGGATTTAAGGAAAAAATGGATTGAGGCTAATATTACTAAGGACAGATCTAAATTATTTATAGAACAAGTTCAGGGCCATGATGTCTATAAAGTAGCATATCCACGATTTTTAACTCGTATTTATCACCCTGACAAATTAAAATCCCGCTGAATTGCTTGATTTAATGGATAGATCAAACAAAAATTTACAGAAGTTTATTTTGAATAATTGGGAATTATTCCATATTTGCGAAATAATAATTTCGATTTCTCGGATTGTAATTTCACACCACAGAACTCGGCTAATTTCAATTATCATGATGTTGAATTTATCCGTAAATGGGGTTAAGGTAGATCATTATAAGTACCTTGATCAAGTGGACAGAGTTTGTGAAGAATTGCATAAATGCTCAGTAGAGGGTCTCAAAATGGATGGACCAGATTCGCCAGGCATACGAGAAAAAACGATTATCAAATAAACTCGGCAAGATTGCTAGAGGTGTAGATTTTGATTTTAATTCTATTTAAATATGGCTTAAAGACTTATTTTCATACGGAAAAGGAAAACGAGATATATCTCATTCTAAATTTGATATGTCTTTTAACTCATTGAGAGGTGATAATTTCGGATCACTCTCTTTGGAGGCATTATATGAAACATTGCCAGATGATTTTTGGCACCTGTCACATAATACCCTTACCAAGGTGGCTGTGATGAACTCGCCCGCCTATACCAGGATACACCAGAACCACTACGCATTTTATGTGCGTAATCAGCAAGTTTGGGAGCATTGGAATAATTATATAACTAATGGTACGGCCTTTGGTGATGTCTACGGCTCAAACCTTACCAATCAGAAAAATGATAACTTGTGGCAAGTTCCAAGCATCCCCGCCAATGATCTGCAGTTAATTCTTAAGATTGCCCATGGATTTGCTATCCCTGTGCAGAGGTTTTCCATTAGTTTAAATGAATTTTTTGATACTCACCCAACTCATGGATTAGTTTTTGATTCTGTATCAGAAGATGATATTATTTTATATAAGAGGTTAACTTTCTTTTTTAACGTCTGTGCAAAATTTGACAGTAATTATGATTTTCTAAATGAAGTTCCTTATTATGAAGTATATTATAATGGTGGAAAAAATTCTTATCTTTATTTTGAATTATTCGGTAGTCAAACACAAATTTCTACTGCCGCCGCCCGTGGCGGTATTTTCGGCCGCAAATAGTCTTCCAATTGTATTTCCTTATTATGATGATGCAATAGGCCAAAATACTGAGCCTTCAAAATCTGATATTGAAATAGATTTAATTACACCATTATGGCAGACTTTTCGTTTGTTTAGTGATGATCAATCTAGTGAAATATCAATTCAGAATGCACCTTTTATTTTGACTAGGAATATAAAGCATTCCAGAAAGGGTTTAGATCTTAATGATTTTGATTATAGTATAAATAAAAATTCTGGTTCTGATGGTTCTAGATGGTTTGCGCTTTGGAAAAATACATCATTTACAGGTAATAATGTATTTTTTGTTGAATCCCATGGTAATAATGTTTTCCGTTATCATTTTGATGGTTCATTTGCTGGACTTACTTCCAATTCCTCCCCTGAAGAAATTTATAATATTTATACTCAAATAAATCCAGATTTTAGGGGCAACTACAAATTTACCCTTAGCAATGTTGGATAATGACACAACATCTTTTTCATATACAGGATCACCCACCTGGTTGCATAAAGGTACCGAATTTTCGGATTATTCTAAATTACAAAATGCTTCTCGTTTTGTATCTGCCTTTGATTTGTCAGAATCTGGCTCTACTGGACATTTAGGACTATTTAAGACTATTGGTGCGAACTTACCGTGCGATGTTATATTACCAATTTACGCCGATACTCAAGCATATACAGATTCGCCCCTTAGTTATTATTCACGTTTCGTACCTGTACAGCATCCTTTAACTGATAATTTAGGATATTTTAGCCTTGCTTTCTTAATATATCAGTGTATGAGTGTGGCCTCGCTCCTGGATGATTTTAATTTACCCGTGGATGCGTTGGCCGTCCGAAATACTTTGGGATTACAGGTTTGAGAGTTTTAATGCTTGCCTTTCTTTGGATACAGTAAGATTTGGAATGATCATTTCAGAAATTTGGCTGTTTCTTCTCCCGAGTTGGATTATCGCCAAACAAAACGGCTTTGCCTTGTTTGACCATCCCACGAAGATTATTCCTTTCAGATCCCACTTTGATTTCTCCGGAAATATTACCAGAGTTTTTGGCAAGATAAACTAATAGGCCAAACCAAATTAAATTCTTGGGTAATTCCTTTCTGTGCACAACCTAAAACAGGTATTACAGAAGATGTAACAATCTATGGCGGTGCCTATTCTGATATTTACCGTGTCCTAGATGGTAAACATCATTATGTAAATATCCGTAATTATACGGATCTATTCTGTAATACTTACAGGTTATTTTCTTGATAACATGGTATTGGATCAGTTGTATTATGGGCAATTCTGGATGTATGAAGGTTCTACTACTTCATTTGTAACAAAGACTGTATTTTCTGATTTGTTTACTAGTAAATTTTATTTGCCCCAATTATTATAATGGTTTATTACATAAAAAGTACCAGAATTTTTAATAAAGATTATTTCAGTTCTGCAATGTTGGATCCTATGTCTGGCGCTAACCAGGTAGAACTTGGTTCTACTGTTAACGAACTCCGTACCAATGAGGCCAAACAAGGATGGTTTGAACGTATCGCCCAGGCTAGATCTGTAAAAGGTTTCTTTAATGCCATATTCGGCACTACTCCTGAAATTGAAAATTTGACACCTCAATTATGTGGATCTGATCACGTTGATATTAATATTGGTGAAGTTGTCAGACCTCACAAACCGACCAGACGCCCCAAGGA